TTCTTGGATCTAAGCACAGCGCCCTGTTGTTACCATCTCAGACACAGCAACCACTATAAAAAGCAACAGAGGGTCCTGTGGCACCTTTAAGACTAACAGAAGTATTGGGAGCATAAGCTTTCGTGGGTAAGAACCTCACTTCTTCAGATGCCTGAAGAAGTGAGGTTCTGAAGAAGTGAGGGCATCTGAAGAAGTGAGGTTCTTACCCACGAAAGCTTATGCTCCCAATACTTCTGTTAGTCTTAAAGGTGCCACAGGACCCTCTGTTGCTTTTTATAGTGGTTGCTGTGTCTGAGATGGTAACAACAGGGCGCTGTGCTTAGATCCAAGAAAATTGACTTTGAAAAATCATGTTAAAGAAACAGTTGACTTAAAAAACCGTGCACTATGAAAGACACTGATGCTTATATATGAATAGCTACATCATCGTCATCAGTAATGTAGCAGAGGAGCCTCTCACCTTTTTCTGAATTTAATTAGATGCTCTCAGCCCTGTCCTACAGGCCCCAACTGTGTGCACAAGAACAATTAAAAAAAAATCTTCGCAAAACTTAAAATAATCAAATATTACCCTAAAGAACAAATCCATGAAAAGTTTAGATTGAAATACTTCCCTGCAGTGTTTGCACCGCAGTGATCATGCATGAGAACCAGGAACCTGAAATTGACTATAAACAAAAATGAAAACAGACAAGTCTCTTCATTCTGGGCACGGAGTGAAAAGCAAGAGGGTAAATGGAAGTGAACTGTCCTTTCAGCAATAACGTAGGAAGGCATTAGCAATGCAGGATTGCATTAACATCTGGGGTGAAATCCTGGCCAATGGCAAAACGTCCATTGATCTCAACTGGGCCAGTATTTCAGCCATGATTTTCAATCTGCCAGTATCCCTTCAATTCACTTCTTTGCGCTATTGTCGTTTATATCCAGTGCAAGGTGCTTGCAGGATGAAATGATATGACCCAGTCGTATTATTTAGTGTTACCGTTTCGTGCCAATGAATAACCCGTGAAAGGGAGCACTGGGAACCCTTCAGGAGTTGCGCTTGCGGAGATATTAAATTCAGAGTGGGAAGAAAAGTGGTTTAAAAACGAGGAAAGAAATCGGTCCTTCAATCCTAGCTCAGCACTTTGGAACGAGGTTCCCGATTCTTTCCAGGGACCCCTGAGTCTAATGGGCAGGAGGGTCGCTAGCCTCCCCGCAGCTCGGCGCTTTGGAGAGGGGTTTGACACAGGTGGGACACACATCTGCGGACGGGCGAGCAGCCCTCGCCCCTCTTCTCGTCCCTGGCTGTGCAAGCCCAACAAGCGCTGCTCGTTAAAGCAGCCTGTGCTTGGCCATCAGAAGGGGAGGCAGACCAGGGGGCTCCAAGCCGCTGGGACCAGCGCTAGGTATCCATTTCACCCCGCAGCTGGAAGAGGCGTGGGGGCCTGGATCCAGCGGTGCTTGGGACTTTCGTGGTGCGTGAGACAGAAACGCTGCGGGCATCAATAAGCGCCAACCCCGACCGTGGCTAGGGGCCTGACCCTGCAGTCCATGGAAAGCCTCCCGTTGGCTCTAGCTGAGAGTTGGATCCTGTCCCGCAAGGGGCGTCGATCGCCACTGACCCCAATGGGAGCAGGATCAAACCCAAGGGGAGAATAGAAATCACCTTTGCTCACAATTCGGTGTGGGATCAGGCGAGAGAACTCTGCAGCCCTCTGGAAGAGGGACTGGGTCAGAGGGGATGAATGCTCGAGACAGGCAACGTAGCGACGGGTATAAATGTAGCCATTCCAGCCGGTCGAGTTTATTTTTATTTTTATTTTTCGAAAATGTAAAATGTCGACTTTTTTTTTCCTCGAGGAATTTCCCCTCGATTGTTCGGAGTTCCCTCCCCCGCCCCACGGGAAATACTCCTCGTTTTCTGACCAGCTGTAATCGCAAGATATTCCTACCTCTGGCTAGCTAGATCTGGATAATAGATACCTTCGTTTTAATCAGTCGTAACCAAACGCGGATGTGTGCTGTCCTGTAAAAAAATATCAACACTCTGCCGTTTTATAAACACTTTAGGACTCGTTTTAATGCTCTTACATTTGTCTATAGGTATATTATATTCAGTTGCCACCAGGGCTCCTGGAAGCAGCATGAAGTAAACACGTGTGCAAACGTTTTCATAGACCTTAATTTCTACAATCGATTTAGTTCAACACGTTTGGATTTTGTGGCGAAAAATTTACAAGGGAAAAATGCTGTGCTTGACCCCTCTAAAACAGCTTACATGAGTGTGAATGCGTGCTGAAGCCTACTTTCATAGCAGATAATTTATTGATCAGTTGATGGAATCATATAATTTTCAACAAACTTGATACAAAAACTCAAAATATGAATGTCCTTGGTTTGACATGACTGTGCTTGCAATCTTGAAATACAAAATATTGGGTCGAAACCGTTTGGATAATATAGAAGAGCTATGAAAAAACGTAAGCGTTAGGACATGCAAAACAACACACACAATGATTTGATTCCAAACTTTTAACACATAAAGGGAGTATTTTGGATGCAAAGATTAGCTCTTGTAAGTAGTTTTTTTTTGGGGGGGGGAACGATGATAAATAAACAAACAAAAATGTGATTCAATCAAAGCATAAAGCCATGCAATTAGGAAAGCCGGATGTATAAAGGCTGTTGTGTCATTGAACTGGTAGTGGTAAAGTGTGTCACAAAATTAGAAGTGGGAGGATCTCCAGTGGATGGAGCTGCCACTCAGGATTACCGGACCTTAGTTGTGAACTTTTCCCCCTTCCAAAAAGAATGAAACTTTAATAATAGATTAACTTTAATGACTGATTCCCCTCCCCCATCGAGTAATTAATCGGGCCCTTAAATCTTATCTTGCTAAGAGGGCCAACGGTATGTATGTTAAATATCTGCATACTCTATTGCACTTCAAACAAATAAGCCAAACAAATGCGGTTTACATTTCTCGAAAATTTAATGATTCTTAATAAAAGCCAACTCCCCGGAATGGTAATGTTGGATGTTGAATTTCGAATAAACTATAAGGTTTTTTATTATTATTATTATTATAAGTTGAGATATATCATAAATATAGCCAGAAAAGAACATTAAAAGCATTGCTAGAGTTTGTTTTTTATTCCCATGCTTTTAATTTTGAAAAAAAAATAATCACAAAACATAACTTATAAAACAATATATACTGCATCCTTATCCACAACAGCATTATTGAAACATCCAGCGTTACGTTTACCACAGATGTGAAATACACTGGGAAAGGACATACCTTGTGCATTTTATATTATGTTTCTTTGTCATCTACAGGTAATAAGTATCGACAAAAATAAGCAACAACTATGCAATTAAACTTCATATGCGTTTTGTATGCGTATTAATATTTAAAAGATCATAGTTATCATTTCCTTTTTTTTTGCCAACAAGCATCTACATTTACATCATAACACCTTAAGATTATTTTTGGTTCCTTGTTTTTCCTTCACATCTAGAAAAACAAGTCACTTTTCAGAATTGCTAAGCAACCTTTCATCATTCGAGACTCGCTCGGTTTCTTTAGTAGAGATGCAGTATCCGGATTCACTTAATGACAGTCCATTTTTTGTCCTTAGTGTTTTTTTTCTAGACTCTCTAGAAGTTTTTTTAAAATTTTTTTAAGGAAAAAACACTTTTTAAGTAAAGATGACTGATAATTTCATTATCAGGCTAAGATTTTGGATGGAGAAAAGGCTGCCCAGTTTCTTTTTTGTGCTCTTCTCAGAAAAGGCGATACTGCAGTCCTTTGGAAAGGCTAGAGAGGTAGGCACCTGTAGCTTGCTTAGTCCTAGGAATGACTGGATCATAGCTTTCAACTAAAGAAAAAACATCAAGAATCATGCATTTTAAAAACATTTTATTCAACGGCCAAGCACAATGATCTGGCACAATGTAACGGCAGATATAAATAGAACCTTAGTTAAGTGGTTGAACCTTGTCTTTAAGTTTTTTTTAATAGTTTCATACCTAATATTTTAACCATATTCCCGCAGAATTTATTCTGCACGTAACTTTTTTTTTTTGTCAGTGGTAAACATTAACCAAACCTCTTCCCCTACCACAAACTGGGCAGCACAACCCCAGCCTTTACCACCATCCATCCACCCCCGGCTTCCCCTTCCACTCTTCAGCTCTATAATAAAGTGGACGCTTTAGAAACTCCTGTGCAAGTTCAAGTAAACACATACAACCCGCATAATCCAGAGGAAAATTGCAACTCATCCGTGTATTAGATTTTGGCGTCTCTTGCAAAAGATTTCTGGTCCGTGTTTGTTTTGTTTGTTATCAAGCCCTCAGAGCTTCCTCTCTCACGCTGCTTGGGCCCTCCTTAGTCCGTCAGCTGTTGTACTGACAGGCGTTTAGACTAGATCCTGGGCTTTGCAAACTGCTGTACCCGAAAGTGGAGTGCTGCTTGGATTTCAGTCTGAGACTGGCCAAGCTGGAGTTGCAAGTGTCTCTGTACACGCTGTAGGGCGAGCCCGGCGGCCCGTAGGGGCAGGCGGGGGAGGACATGGCGGAGTTGAGGGAGGAGCCGCTGATGTTGCTGAGGTTGTTGATGTTGTTGAGGTTGGCGTTGGCCATGCCGGGCACGGCCGAGTGGCCCATGCTGGAGGGCATGCTCATGGAGGAGATGGTGCTGGGGGCGGAGAACATGGACTGCGAGGACAGGGGGCTCATGGAGTTGAAGAAGGTGAAGCTCTTGGTGGAGAGCGGCGCCGGGGTCAGGCTCTTGGTGGCCCAGTTGTTGTAGGGATAGCCGGCGTACATGTCATCGTAGGGCTGCATGAGGCCGCTGAACTGGGGCACGTAGCCGTTCTTGCACAGGTCCATCTGCTGGTTGCGCTCCCGCTTTCTCCACTTGGCTCGGCGGTTTTTGAACCAGACCTAGGGGGGAAGGTCAGAGTAAAGGGTAAGTGCGGGAGGCTCCTGCAAGGACCCGGGGAACGCAGCCCAGGGGGTAGGGATGCGCAGGGGGGCTAGCTCCGGTTTGGATTCTCAGAGCCTCTGCCAGGAGCGGCTTCAGCTCCCCACACCAGGGAGGATTTGCAGAGGGAAAGCCAAGATTTGCAGTGGACAGTCCCTGGCTCACCCTCCCTGGGTGTTGCTTCTCCTGCCCGCTGCGCACCATAAACGCTGCCCCAGCCTGCCCTGCTGTCCTCTCCCTAAATCCCATGGCTTGTTCCCCCTGGCCCAGAGAGATGAGTCACCTCCCCCAGCCCAGCCCCACGCCGCGGCTCTGGATGTGTGCGCAGCGCGTCTCTCTGCTTTTAATTTACCCCTGCCTGTCGCTGCGCTTATTTACGGAGAGCATTAATTGGCCACGCTGCAGCGCCTCGCCCAGGCCCTGTTCTGATTAGTGCCGGCTAGCCCGGCTCGGCGGTGTTTCCGAATGCTAAAACTGGACAATAAAAGTCCTCTGTTACAGATCATAAAATGGGGATTGGATTAGTGTGTTTAGGTTTAAAAAAAATGCCTCGCCCTTTGGGTGGATGCGGCCTGGGCCTTTATGTCTAATGAGAAGGTACAGCCCTGAGTCGGGAACGGAGGAGCGAGGGGCGCTCATGTGTGTTTGATGCCCAAACCTCATCCAAGCTTTATCTCCAGGGCGGTGCTGGAGACCCCTGGCACCCAACCCAATGCATTGCCCAGAGAGCAGGAAAAGCCGGAGCTAACTCAGATTAAAGCAGCGCTCCAGCGTTGCGCGGCAAACTTTACTGCAGGGTCCTGTTGGAGTGGTGTGTGTGTGTGTGTGTGTGTGTGTGTGTGTGTGTGTGTGTGTGTGTGTGTGTGTGTGTGTGTGTGTGTGTGTGTGTGTGTGTGTGTGTGTGTGTGTGTGTGTGTAGTAGGTAGGTTAGTACGTAA